TATTTAAGAAACCACCCAGTAGATTTGAAAACAGATGAATTTCTAAGACATGATGCAAGGTTGTTATAGCCTGTGCTGTTATAAAACCTACGTATGCACACATGTAGATCATGGAGATGTCTTCTGCTAGGAGATGATTAGACAGCCGGCTGCAGTGTTTATGATAAATTAACATTCTCAGTGTATGTATTTACATACTATTTTTATCCCCCCACTTAGTAAAGAGGAGGGATGTATAGTATTCGTTTCATCATTGCATGTATCACAGTATCATACCGTATATTTTGTCGGATTTTAGAAACACTGTCAGTACTGGTCTCAAACATTTTCGGTATTGCTTTATTGACGTTGTTATGGACATCAGCTATTAATTGCGCCTGTCAATAACTAATGCATATTTTTATTGATGCATTATGTGTGTCAGTCCAATTTAGAAAGCTTGTGTACAAGATATCTCATGAATTCTTCAACAGAATTAGTTCATTTTACTCCATAGGATGGTAGCATCAAGTTTTATACCATATTATAGGTTTAACCGTTTTAGTGGTCTCTGGTCAAGGTTAAAGGGTCAAAGGTCACACTTTACTTCTTTTTAAGTTAAAAGGTTGTACCTGATATACATTTATCATGAATCCCCCAACAGGTTGAGTTCATATTTACATCAAATTATGGGTTACATCAGGTTTTACACCTGATTTACATTTTGCATAAGTGCATGGTCAAAATCAAAGGATCAAAAGTTATACTCAATCACAATGGGAGGGGGTATATTCTATGTGAGCCCATGTAATAGGCTTTTTTGTTTGTTTTCTTTAATAGATTAAGTGAATTTAGTTCATAATTCCTTGGATTTAGGGACTAAATCTTCATGTCTCTTCATTAGGTCACCTGAGCTTTGCTCAAGTGACCTATTCCAATCGCTTTTCGTCCGTCGTTGTCCGTCGTCCGTCGTGCGTCGTGCGTAAACTTTTACATTTTCAACTTCTTCTCAAGAACCAGTGGATGGATTTTTTTCAAACTTGGTCAGAATCATCCTTGGTAGATGAGGCTTCAAAATTGTAAAATTGGGATTCCTACCCCAACCCCTGGGGCCAGGGCGGGGCCCCAAAGGGAAAATTA